TATCTAGAGAAATAAATTGCAGAGGCCTCGTTGATTTAGCCCCTATTACTCTTCTGCATCTTCGCTTCATCGGAATTCTAGATGAAGCTATCCTCCGACGCCTCCAGAGCACCAGCAATCTCACACAGCTGAGCATTCGAAATGGCGGATATGCTCCCAAAGCACATGGACAAAATTGAATATGGTCCATGGTCATGTTCATCGATGGCGGCGACAGTGGAAAGCTATTCACCACGGCACCAAAGCTGTTGACCTCCAATTCCTCCATCTGCTCTCGCAGTTCTCTAATCCCGATATCAGATTCATCGCCTTACAGGAAAGGCTGGAGCTGTATCTTGGTCAATTGAATTTCGTGCAGAAAGCCATGGAGAAGAAAGGGTTCGGAATCGGAATCAGATTTCACGCCTTTGTAAGGCTCGTGGAGTTTGAGGTATAAAGTGAAGATACGGAGAACGACCGTGTTCCGTTGAAAAAGAGCCCAGAATGCAGAGTTTGCCGGCGGTTTCTGTAGCCCAGCAAAGACCATGTGTTGGCGATCAAGCAATCGCCACCACAGTCGGAGGAGATCGTCGAAGGGTCGCTGCAAGATGGCCATGGACTTGAAGAACGGGATCATGAGGTCAGGGGACTTGATGGCATTCTCGCAACCTTCCGGCAGCCTCACCATAGTGGAATTCTATGGTTTTGAAGACCCAATTAAGCTGCAGCCTCGCCATGTCTGTCATTGGGATCATGTGGGCTTGATCCATCAAAGGGAGGAAGACCACGTGAAGGCCTCGGTTGATAATTAATTTTTGCAATTTAATTAATTCTTATTAAATAATTAATATGATAAATTATATAGACAAAGTAAGTGGAATGATGAGATAGAAAAATAATTTTTTTAATTTTTTAATTTCCACGTCATCTAGTTAACGGTCAACCTTTATAGTTGACTGCCACGTAAAAAAAATTTAACGGAGTGTAACGGGCGGTGACTAACGGTTAAACAATTCGTAAAGTTAGTGGCAAATAAGAAATAAAAGTAATTTGGGTGGCAAATGTGAAAGATTGTTATAATTTGAGTGACCAAACGTGTAATTTAGCCTATTTTTTTATCAACATAAGTAAAAGAACTGCAAAAAAGGAAAATTGATGAACGTAGGCTCCACGTCTCAAACTTTCCCTTCCTTAACCTCCAAATTAGTGATGGCAATAAGGCGGGACAGGACGGATACCTAAATGTCCATGTTCCGTCTCACGTTATTGTGGGTTGGGGCGGGTAATACCCACTCAATCGTACGGGGCGGGGTGAATCGATCCACTCTAACATGTTATATGAAAAAAAATATAGGCAAAATTTTAGTTTTTGTGATAAAAAGAAGGGGATAACACTTTATGAATAAAAAATAGTGATAATAGAACGGGTAATTAAGTCTAACTAGTTGAAAGGTCGAGTCTAAATATGAGAAATTTGAATAGATATTGTAAGTATTTGAGGTAAAATGGGCCAAGAAAGGGGTGAGGCGGAAAGGGACGGAATTAGATACGGGATGAGTTAGGTCATTAAGCCAAGAAACTTAAGAAAAATCTTAAGTGATTTCTATTGGCTGAAAGTATATTAGGCAGATAATATTTTGTCAGTGGTTACCGAGTAGTTAAGGGTAATTAGGGAATTAGAGTATTTTAAAAGTAATTGACGGAGAGTGGCCGGATTTTAAGGAATTCTTAGGGGGTTTCAATTTATTAGGGCTTGTTTGCTTGTTGCATTTGGATGTTGGATTTGGACTTCAAATACAAACCATCATGTTTTTTGTCCAAAGCCATTGTTTGTTAAGGTAGGCAAATCCATGGGCCCACGGATTTGGACACTTTTTTTAGTTCCAAATCCATGGATCCCACGTATTTGTAAATGCCACATTTCATTTGATATTTGCAAATACCACATTATGGAAGGCAAATTTTTTAGAACCAAATACCAAATGAACTAAATCCATGATAAAAATTCAACTAAACAAACAATGTTATCTTTCAAATACAAAATGAAACAAATTCATCATAAATTCAAAAGTTTTCAAAACTCAAAACCTTCAGTTTCAAATTCAACAAGCAAACTAACCAAAACTTTTATTCTGCATTAATGTTTACTAACCATCTAAAAAAAAAAATGTTTACTAACCATAATATCCTGTCGTATGAGCGATGCAATTTTTTCTTTTTATGGAAATCAAGCGATGCATTTTTTTAATGATGTGTCATTTCTTAAAAGCTTTGTGTCATTCTTTTAACATTGTAGTAAGACATTATTATATTAAGAGCATAGTATTATTAACCACCATAAGCTATGATCATTATCAATTATTATTATTATTATTATTATTATTATTATACTAAGAGTGTAGTTTGATTAACCACCACCACAGTATGGTTGTTAAAGATTTACAGTGGTGTTATTGTATAGTTTTAGTGATTATTAACCTTTCATAGTTCATTGTTAACGTGTTTTCGTTGATAAGGAATTGCCCAGGAGGCAAGCATTGATAATGTTTTTTTTTTTTTTTTTTTGCTTGGCTTTTGAATTGTTTACAACAACGTTGTTAATATTTTTATATATAAGTATTGCTAAGCTAATATTGAGAAAGAATTATTAATAATGTTCAGTATGATTAACCACCATTACAATCATTATCAATGCTTTTGTTTTCTTTTTGATGAAACACAACTTAGCTATTAATATTTTTTATATTATTATCGATGTTTTGAAAAAAGAATTATTAATAATATGTTGTATGATTAACCACCATCAGATATGATCATTATCAATGATTTTATCTTTTATATATAAGCGTATTAGTAGTTGAGAAAGAATTATTAATAATATGTAGTATAATTAACCACAATTAGATATGTTCATTATTAATTATTTTGTTTGCTTTTTAAATGAAACATAAGTTTTCTATTAATAGTTTTTATATCGTGATTTATATTTTGAGAAGAGAATTATTAATATTATGTACAATGGTATTACTCATTTAGATACAATCATTATCAATTATTTTGCTTGTATTCTCAACGCCAACACAATTTAGTTACTAATGATTAAGATTGTCATTAGCAATGTTTCAATGTAAACATTTATAATAATTAAAATATTGATAAATATATTAAAATCATTAATAATGATGATTATATCAATAATAATCAATATATATTTCATAAATGTTAATAATACCATTACAAATATTAATAAGGGCAAATACAATATATTAGCCATAACTATTAAGCAGCGGGGAATTATAGCCTCAACTATCAAAATACAAATTATTAGCCAATCGTTAAGTTTTGATTAACACTTCTGTTAGTAATGATGACTAAGCTTTTACAATGCTGAGCTGGCTCCCATGTGGCAGTTATCATATCATATTTTTTACGATGCTGACATGGCCTTCTACGTTAAAAATTTGAAAACAAAAACGGGCTGTTAGCCAAATCTTGACCCACAATAATAATTATGGCTAATAATTTGTATTTCGATAGTTGTGGCTATAATTTCCCGATACTTAATAGTTATGGATAATATATTTTATTTACCCTATTAATAATTATATTGCAAGTAGCTATATAAAGGGAAAGTGGACATCTTTTAAAATATCCTTTTCTAAAACATTAAATCTTAATTTCGAATTTATATTTTTAATTTCCATATTAAATAGTTGCCGATTTTAGGAGAGAGATTGTTTTCTTTTTAATTAATAAAGACATTAATTTTTAATTATATTCCATTTCAGCCCTTGTAGGTAGTTAGCCAATGATTAATAATAATTATCTCTCTCCTCCTACTATTGGCTAGAATAAGTTTAAGATTCTCTTTAAACAATGTGGCTTAAGAACCGGATCGTATCCGAAAAAATTGGTTTCTAATAGTTACATAATTGGTAATCATTTATATTTATTGCAACCAATCACCAATATTTTCCAACCAATAATGTAAACTATGGCAACCAAATTAAAATGGTCATGAAATATGAAGATTTTTTTTATCGTTGACAAAATTGTTTGTGATAGATTTTCTTTCCGCTGCCAATTATCATTTTGGATGTGGTAGGAATTCGTAATGCGGATATAGCGACCAACTCTTCTACCAATTTTTTTTGTCACAAAAAAGCATTAATAACTAATTTTGATCTTTTAGGACCAATTTTATCCGTTACTAAAGAGCTTTTTTTTTCCTGGTAGCGTCCAGCAACATATACATACGGGGATCGGTTAGCATGCTAACCCTTGTATGGGTTGGCAAAATGAAAACCCCTATTAATTATAGGTTTTTAAGATAATTAATTTGTGTTGCATTTAATAATCTGTATGAATTAAAAACACATATTAATTACTTTCCTTTTTCAGTGCACTGGTAGTTGTATCAGTGCACTGGTATACTGAACTCATATTAATTACGTTCCTTTTTTGGAACTACCATTGCAGTGATACATCTACCATTGCACCTGTACACAACTACCAGTGCACTGATACAACTACCAGTGCACTGAAAAAAGGAAAGTAATTAATATGTGTTTTTAATTCATACGGATTATTAAATGCAACACAAATTAATTACCTTAAAAACCTATAATTAATAGGGGTTGTCATTTTGCCAACCCTTTTATGGGTAGGCATGCTATCTCATCCCATACATACGCCCATGGTCAAAAGAGAAAAACAAACAAAAAACAGTAAAAAGAAACTACAGCTAATTACCTTGTTTAAAACTGGTGGACCACCGGAACTGAATCGGAAAGTAGGAGTAGTTTTAGTTGTATTACCTGAATCTGATATGCTATATAATAAACCAGAGCTAAGTAATAGTGAATCTATAGAGACCCATGCATTCGATATTTACTACTTGCTACCATTATACTGCGGTCTTGTTAGTGTGTAACTTGGTATTGACCGGAGTGTTAGTTTTAGCGGACCACAACTTTTGAATTATGCTGATACTTCCATTCGAACATTTTATTTACTGGTTGTTTTTGATAATGGTGAAATTTTATTAACCAAAGATAAACAACTGTACACAAAGAAAAACCGGATCAAGAGAAATGATCCAGGGGGAAAGGCTAAAACTAAAAACACAAAAAGAAAGGAAGAAGAAAAAACGTCAAGGCCAGAAATGGGAGGCATCCAGGCCGGAACAAAACAGCGTCTCCCAGACTTACACAAAAGCCCCAGCAGGGGCGGACAACCGCACACAAGCCACAGCACCAACTCCACATATCCCCCAAACACAGGAGACCACCTACAAACCAAGCTGCCTGAGGACGACAAAACATCACGCCCACCACGATCCACAAGGCCGCCATCCAAGACCTCACGCAGCAAACAAATTCCATCTCACGCCCGCATCGAACCATGCCAAACCCAGAAGCAGCAAGCTGTAAACACGGGAAATCAACAGCAACTGAAACCTTCCAGCTCAGTAATTAGACTAAACCTTTTTCAACCAGCCATCTTCTCCCCTCTGCTTTCTGCGTCTTTCCCTGTACCACGATCCATTCGATTGCCTTCCTCGCTGCCCTTTTTCCCACCACCAACAAGCAGGTATCTTTGTCTTCGAATGTCCGCTGATTCCTCTCGAGCCACACAGCCCACCAGACGGAGTGTAGAATACAAACATCGAACCACTTCTCAATTCCGTCTCCATCTGCTGAAACCCAATTTGCTAAAACATGGGCGATCGCCCCATTCAAGCTCGGTGTTCTGCTTCTCCTGCCATACATCAAAATCCAGATTCTCCTAACAAAATCACAATCCACAAGCAAGTGCTGAACACTCTCCTCATCTTTCTTACACAAAACACATCTGTTAGCCAAGTACAGGCCTCTTCTCTTAAGGTTGTCGAGTGATAGCACTCTATTGTGGTAAACGAGCCAAGTGAAGAAGCAGATTTTACTCTGAATCCACGGAATCCACACAATCTTCGCAGGGAACTCTTCAATCTCTCTCGAGTGACTGCCGACCAGCTCCGTATACAGAGATTTCACTGAGAACTTGGAGTTAGCCTCTTGTTTCCAGAGTACCCTGCAAGGACTATGGGAAGAAAGAGCCAAATTCACAGAGTTTAACATATTTAACAGATTATCCCTCTCCCTCGCTGCCCCCCCCCCCCTCAAATGATACTTGAAATCGAAATTCCAACTCACCAACTCACCCTGGGTATTTGCAACGTCAGAAAGCCGGGCTTCAGGATCAAGGACAGCAGCAGCGACGCGCGGAAACGAAGCAGACAGCACAATCCCCGGGATCCAACAATCGTGCCAGAAGGAGACTTGAGTACCATTTCCCGGATCAATAGCCGCGTAGTTCCAGAACGAATCATATTCTTTGCTGATGTTAGCCCAAACCGACCTGGAGAACCCATGTCTTTCCCTCTTAGTCTGCCAACTCGATAAATCATTCGGATATTTGGAGTTAATCAAACCTCGCCACCAGCTGTCTCTTTCAGTTGCAAATCTCCATAACCATTTTGATAGCAAAGCGTCGTTGAATCTCTCTAAGTCGTGGATGCCCAAACCTCCCTTCTTCACAGGTGATTTACACCACTCCCACTCTATCAAGGCCATCTTATTACCCTCCGACTTTCCGTTCCAAAGAAACCTCCTCTGGTATCCTTCAAGATCCTTAATGACACCTTTCGGGGCCTTGAAAAGAGAAAACAAGTAAGTTGGCGAGCCGGAGAGGACAGCATTAATCAGAACGAGTCTCGCACCATAAGACAGCTTTCTACTTCCCCAACCATTAAGTCTGTTTTGGTATTTCTCCACAATTCCATCCCAAACCGATCTGTCATTTGGATTCGCACCCAGGGGGTATCCTAGGTACTTCGGAGACTCACTACTCCATTTGCACCCGAATATCGCAGCAAAATAACTCGGATCGGCTACGTCCCCCACCGAATACATTACTGATTTTTCCAAATTAATCCGCAATCCAGTTACCATTTGAAACATCACAAGAGTAGCCAGAATATTCAGAACCTGATCATGGTTCGCGTCACAGAAAATTAAGGTGTCATCAGCATAAAGCAGGTGAGTAACTTCCCCGATCTTTTTCTTCTCGTCCATGAAGAAGCCTTCAAACATCCCGTTAGCTCTCACCTTTTCCAGCATCAAGGATAACACATCCATCACCATCACGAACAGACCTGGGGATATGGGGTCCCCTTGGCGAAGACCTTTGGAGACCGGGAAGAAACCGTTAGCTTCTCCGTTAATGAGAATCGAAACATTGTAATCAAACATCGAACCTTTGACCCAATTCCTCCACCGCACTGGAAACCCCATCAGCTCCATAATCTTCAAAAGGCACCCCCAGTTTACGTTATCGAACGCCTTTTCAATATCGAGCTTGAACATGAGACCCGGTTTTCTGCTCTTCCTCCTGCTCTCCACCACTTCGTTCGCAATTAAGCCTGCCTCCGCAATTTGCCTCCCTTTCACAGAAGAGTGCTGCTGTTTGGAGATAAGTTTAGGGAGGACAACCCCTAATCTCTTGGATAAAACCTTGTTGATCAGTTTATTAATACTGCCAATCAGGTTTATCGGGCGAAGGTCTTTAATTTCTTCCACCACATCCTTTTTTGGTGCCAGACAAACAAAAGAATGTTTAACACACTTTGGAAGTGCACCTGTGCTATGAAACTCCTTAAAAACCCTTAGAACTTCGCTTTTTAGGCAGCTCCACCCCCGTTTGAAGAATTCCAGAGTAAACCCGTCAGGCCCCGGGGCCTTGCTGCCGTCACACTCCCTCAGGGCGTCCCAGATCTCCTCTTCTGTGAAATCCCGACAAAGCAGCACCTTATCCAACTCCTCGAGATGATGTTCCCAAACCCAACATGGAAAAGGACGACTCACCAAGTCTTCTTTAAATAGATTTTGATAGAACCGCACAATCCCTGAAGCAACATCCACCGGGTCGTCAACATTCCTCCCCTCAATCTTAAGCTTTTCCACTCTGTTTACCTTGCGTCTGTAATTTGCCATTTGATGAAAGTAACCGCTGTTCTTGTCACCTAGTTTCACCCAGACTTCTCTAGATTTTTGTCTCCAGCAAATCTCTTGAAGAAGCAAATCCCTTCTCAGATCAATTTCCAGCTTAGCTCTCTCTTCTCTTTCACCGTCATGCAGAATTCTTTCTTCTTCAACCCTTTCCAGCTCCTTGATTTTGATCAGAAGATCTTCCACCCTTTTATCAATATTGCCGAAGACTTCTTTGTTCCAAACTTTAAGTTTAGCTTTAATCGAGTGCAGCTTCCTTGCAAATAGAAAGATATCTCCTGTACCCTGCGCATTCTCTCCCAACCAGATATCGAGTTCTTGAAAAAATCTAGGATCTTCCAGCCACATGTTCTGAAATCTCCACGGTCTTCTCACTTTCTTGTTCTCGCCCCATTTCATAACAATAAGATTGTGATCAGATTCGATTCTTTCCATAGCCGTCAGAGAACAGTCCGGGAACAAACGATCGAACTCCTGAGATATAAGCACCCTGTCAATTCTCGAGAAAAGTCTGCTATTCGCACCATGATTCCAAGTATACTTGCAGCCACCCAGAGGTAAATCAATAAGTCTGGTTGTTTGCCTAACTTTTTTTCAGTTCATTGTTTGATCAATTCCCTAAACAAGGTTGTGTGATATGATTATGTATTGTTTCTTCAGGAATAGCAAAACACATACTTCTTCCTGATGTGAATCGGCTCTATGGAGTTTTCTTGCACATGCTCTTACCACATTGCTTTAGCATAACCACCATTAACAATGCAATATTTTTCTATTTCTCAACCCCACTAACAGTGCAGCAATCTCATCCTTGACAACAATATCATCCACAAAAGGAGAAACATTAGTCATCGCAGTGTGGCCCTTCACCAATGTTTATAACCGACGTTAGACATTGTGAAGGCAATGAAAACACGAAGTGCTTCAAATTTGTACCTTCTACTCGGTCTAAGGTGTTATAGTAGCTGCATGTATATCTTATTACACTATTGTAACGATGGGCTCACATAATTATATGAGAAGTCCTAAGAGAAACTTTCACATTGGTAGGTGATAATCTATTCAAAGCGTATTTAGATAGATTTTCTCTCCTAAGGATATACACGTTGGCGTGACCCACTTTGTGGGTGGAGGACCTAAAGAATCTTTATATCACTTACACACGCGTCGTTCGACCTGCTGGTGAGTGGGTAGACCGGCAGACTTGAGACTACCGTTTTTGAAAAAGTTCCGAATTAATTGTCCAATATTCTTTCCACAACGAGATAATTAGTAAAAGAAATAATATATAGGTTAATTACCACCCTACTTACAAGTTACCAATTCCCTCGAAAGAGGCAATATTTATGGAGATTTTGGCTCCTATATATAGAGCATAACAGAGAAAGAGAGTGATATTCATAGATTTCCGGTAGCTCGCACAAACGAAGAGTATATAATTGGTTGTTTTATTTTAGAGGCGACCAGCTGATAGTTTGTCGTGCGAATTAGGAAGCAGTGCCGCAAACGTTTTAAAAAGAGCGAGCTAGTGCACAACTTAGCGAGATTCAATAACCCTAATTTCTTGTTCTATTTCTAACCATATAGAATGAGTGGGTCACATGATAGCGTATAGCAACTAGTTGATATTGATTTTCATATGGTACAGCAATGGTCACTGACTGTGAGCTTTAATTTTCGACTTTTCGTAGTAATTTACTGACTTACTTTTGATTGCCAGGCCTAGGCAATGGTCTCGCGCTCTAACTTGAAGCTTTTGTCTGCTGTTCAAATCTATAATTCCTAGTCATTTACAGACTGACTTTTGCTGGCATTAATCATGGCCACTCTCTGTTTCTAAAATGCTTCAGTTTTGGCCATTATGGTTTCTACTAGGAGTTAATGAAGTTTGTGCTTCCTTAATCATCTAGTCGTAGATGAACCTGGGAAGCAGGCGAGGAGTTTTTGGAAACCATGATCTGGATTAAGAACCTGATTGATCAAGATGTTTTTGGAGACCATCTCTGGAAATTAGGGGGAGTAATAATGACTTCTAAAAAGCAAGGAGACTTATTTATATATTGAGGAGTATGTGCATGTCGTCGTCACGTGCCCCATGTTTCATTAATGGGCAATTAAATCCCACCTTCAAATTTCATGGTTGTGTTGAACATCCATAACAAAAAAGATTGTCACAAAAATATTATTGGTTGACATACGGATAAACTCTTAATCAAATTAAATGTCATCTATGTAATAAATCAACTTGTCAAAATAATTTGAATTATTCAAAAAAAAAAAAAACTCAAACGATTTGGAAAAGATTTCTTATGGATTTTATACCTCTTAAATGAATTCTCTTTTCATCTACCCATAAACAAAAAAAAAAATCTTCTTTTCATCCACAAAAATTGATTACTGATAGTTACATAAATTAATTGTCATTTACTCATTTATATTTATGGCGACCTCCAATCACCTATATTTCTTAAGCAATATTGTGGACTATGACAACCAAATTAAAATGACCACAAAAAATCAAGATGTTTTACCGTTAGCAAAATTGGTTGCAATAGCTCTTCTTTTCGATACTAACCATCAATTTGACTGCAGCAGGAAATTGCAACGTGGCTATGATAACCAACTCTGTTAAATAAACTTTTTTTTACAAAAAGTTATTAATAACCAATTTGATCTTTAAGGACTAACTTATTGGTTGCAAAAAAGAGGATCAAGCAACATATACATACATATATCCCCCATGACCAAAATAGAACAAACAAAACCTTTGTTTTCAAAACCGGACCGGAGGCAGAACCGGAAAAGTTAGTGGTTTAGGGTTCATCGGTTAACCGTTACAAAACCGTTGGTGAACCGTTGATACAACCGTTCCAAATCCCACTAGCAAATGAGCCCTAATACTTTTATTCTACATTAATGTTTACTAACCATCTCAAAAAAAATGTTTACTAACCATAATATCCTGCCGTATTAGAGCGATGCAATTTTTTCTTTTTATGGAAAGCGATGCATTTTTTTAATGATGTGTCATTTTTTAAAAGCTTTGTGTCATTTTTTAACATTGTAGTAAGACATTATTATATTTAGAGCATAGTATTATTAACCACCATTAGGTATGATCATTATCAATTATTATTATATTAAGAGTGTAGTTTGATTAACCACCACCATCGTCAGGGGCGTAGCCAGGATTTTGTCGATGGTGGGTCCATTTAGAAAAAATACATATGATAAAATAATTTTGTTAGCTTTCTAAATCGTGCATGATATAATTTTGTATTTGCAAAAACTTGGTAAATTAAATAATATGTCAAAACTATCAAGAATATCACCATATGTATCAAACAATTATTTATGATTTAGTTAGACATTTGCTTTTGAATCGTGTTCTTCGTCAAGACCGTTTAGTATCATTAACTCGAGTTGTTAGGAAAGATTTAATAATGAATCTAATACTATTTAGTATTTACTTACACTGTCCTGCTTACTACAACCAACTTATGTGTGCTTAAAGTTTACGTAAATCCGAATATCATGTGTTTAACAAATGGGGTTACAAAGATTCGAACAAATGATATCTCGGTCAACCATTCTCAATTAGAAGTTCCCTAAATTTCATTCTCAATTAACTATTATACTAATTTACTCATTTTCGTCCTTAGGAAACACCTGCTACAATCTTCCTACCCCTAATTGAAATAAAATTATTTTTACAAATAAATTATGATTTGGTGGAAATTTGTTGTAAATATTGAATACATACATCTTCAATTTTGGTCGAATCATATACATCATTATCATTTGTACATAGCTCGTTATAAATACATTGAATATGTCAACGCTCGTTATAAATCATACATCAAATATTTCAAAGGTCTACCAATTTCATTTAAATACGTATTATTTTTCATACCCAATTAACTACTGTACCTAATTGACCATTTTCTAACCCGAGTCAGGGTGGGTCCCGGGATCCACCCTCTAACTCTCTCCCTCCGCCCCTGACCATCGTATGGTTGTTAAAGATATACAGTGCTGTTATTGTATTATTTTAGTGATTATTAACCTTTCATAGTACATTGTTAACGTGTTTACGTTGATCAGGAATTGGCCAGGAGCCTAGCATTAATAATGTTTTTTTTTTGCTTGGCTTTTGAATGGTTTACAACAACGTTGTTAAGATTTTTATATATAAGTATTGCTAAGCTAATATTGAGAAAGAATTATTAATAACATTGAGTATGATTAACCACCATTAGAATCATTATCAATGATTTTGTTTGCTTTTTGATGAAACACAACTTAGCTATTAATAGTTTTATATTATTATTGATGTTCTGAAAAGAGAATTATTAATAATATGTTGTATGATTAACCACCATAAGATATGATCATTATCAATGATTTTATCTTTTATATATAAGCGTATCAGTAGTTGAGAAAGAATTATTAATAATATGTAGTATAATTAACCACCATTAGATACGATCATTATTAATTATTTTGTTTGCTTTTTAAATGTAACATAAGTTAGCTATTACTAGTTTTTATATCGTGATTTATATTTTGAGAAGTGAATTATTAATAATATGTACAATGGTATTACTCATTTAGGTACAATCATTATCAATTATTTTGCTTGAATTCTCAATGCCAACACAACTTAGTTATTAATGATTAATAGTGTCATTATCAATGTTTCAATGTAAACATTTATAATATTAAAATATTGATAAATATATTAAAATCATTAATAATGATGAGTATATCAATAATAATAAATATATATTTCATAAATATTAATAATACCATTAAAAATATTAATAATGATATTACAAGTAGCTATATAAAGGGAAAGTGGACATTTCTTTTAAAAATATCCTTTTCTAAAACATTAAAAATCAATTTCGAATTTATATTTTTAATTTCCATATTAAATAGTTGTCGAATTTAGGAGAGAGATTGTTTTCTTTTTAAATTATAAAGTCATTAATTTTTAATTATATTCCATTTCAGCCCTTGTAAATAGTTAGCCAATGATTAATAATAATTATCTCTCTCCTCCTCCTATTGGCTAGAATAAGTTTAAGATCCTCTTTACACAATGTGACTTAAGTACCGGATCTGACCCGTAAAAATTGGTTTCTAATAGTCACATAATTGGTTATCATTTATATTTATTGCAACCAATCACCAATATTTTCCAACCAATAATGTCAACTATGGCAACCAAATTAAAATGGTCATGAAATATGAAGATTTATTTTTATCGTTGACAAAATTGTTTGTGATAGATTTTCTTTCCGCTACAAATTATCATTTTGGATGTGGTAGGAATTCGTAATGCGGATATAGCGACCAACTCTTCTACCAATTATTTTTTGTTACGAAGAAGCATTAATAACTAATTTTGATCTTTTAGGACCAACTTTATCAGTTACTAAAGAGTTTTTTTTTCCTGGTAGCGTCCAGCAACATATACATACGCCCATGGCCAAAAGAGAAAAACAAACAAAAAACAGTAAAAAGAAACTACAGCTAATTTTACCTTGATTAAAACTGGTGGACCACCGGAACTGAATCGGAAAGTAGGTGTGGTAGAAAGAGTCATAGAGATGAAGCCCCACTGACCGGAAATCAATCGGCCAAATTAAAGATCACCGGTCCTTGTTCCCATTGAAGCGAGCGCATCATGAGCCACGGCCACGGCCACCTGTAGTTGGACTTAGTTAATTGATGGTAGGTTGGACTTCATCAATTGATGCTAGCCCACGTGAAAAACGTTGGGTTGCAACCATTTATTTTTATATATAAAAATAATAGGGTTAACGTTCAAAAATAGAGTTGTGAACACAACTCGCCGTAACTATATGAAATATCATAAAATTGTCATAATTTTTCGGTATACTAGAAAACTTTCAATTATAATTAAACGAATTTAATTTAATTTTTAATTTATGATTAGTAAATAAAAATTAAAATTTCCGTAAGTGAAACAATCAGTATTCTTCGATGTTGTCGTTCAATCAAATGCCCAACTTTCATCTACTGCTTCGCTCTCGTCAACCACCTCCCCACAAGATCCTCGAACCAGAGCTTGCAGCAGCGAGTTCGAGCAGGATTCACGGCCTCGAGATTAGGTGTTGGGTTCATAATCTAGAGGAGATTCGACGACATTTTCAATCAGAGACGATACAGATTCAAATATATAATTAAGGTACGATCCAGAGAGTTAATCCATGAATTTTGAGGACAACGCTCACTAAGAGCACGAATTGGCTCTTAGCAACCCAGCCCGGAACGGTCCTATGAGGATGGTCGTAATTGGTAATCATTTAATTAACCGCTGTTTACTAATCATTAAAACTCTTGGGTTAGTGAATAAGTAAATTTGACTATCGAAAATCGATGGTTTACTGTTTAATCTGCTATATATAGGTCTCCGAATGGGCATCGACTAAACCGCTAACAAGATAATCGTTATCAACAAACTCTTTAAAGTTAAGATTGGAGTCCCGGCCCCCGTCGCACCACCTTACTCCGATTCCGATCAACTGTGTGCATCCCACCTGCCAACCACCACGCTACTCTGTACTCTGATATACTTTCTGTAAAACTGCTGGACCATGAATCGGAAAGTAGGTGTGGCAGCTTTGAAGCCACCACCCACCGGAAATCAATCGGCCGAATTAAAGATCTCCGGTCCTAGCTTGTTCCCATTGGAGTCGAGCGCATCATGGGCCACGGCGGCCATGCTGTAGTTGGACTCAAACTAAAGATGGTAGGTTAGGTTAGGTTAGGTTGGACTTTGGAGTCACTCCACTCCCTTCCCTTCCCTTCCCTTCCCTTCCCTTCCCTTCCCTTCAGGGAAGTAATTTGGGAACCAAACTCCCGCGCACTATCTAATTCTAATCTGACTCATTCTATTTTAAGCTCTTTAAAATAACCTATTAATCTGTATGCCATTTTTTCTCTTTTATGAACTAACTAACTAATAATGAGGCTACGATTTTGAGTGGATGGGCAAATAAGGCTGCAAAAAGGGAAATTATGGCTCGAACAGCTCAACAAAGTGTGCCCCGTGAATCCTATCCTGCTCATCACGATATATATAATTAGCTTCCATTGAGGCAGATTGCTTTGTGATGTGTGTTTTTTGACTTTTTATTTTCTTACTTTGTATTCGAGAAAGATATTTGCCTCCTAAGGAATAATTATCAACTACCTTGAGAGAAAAGGCAAGAAAAGGCTCCAAGAGGAAGCAGAGAAATCAAAGGACAAAACACACAAAAGAAAGGAGAGTAATAAAATAAGAGAAAAGAAGGTGCTATCGCAGGTTTCTTACCGACGACAGCCCACTAAAAGTCATATGTGAATTATAGAGAGATGTGAAATACTGTCAAGAGTCAGTAATCATTTTTCTTAATTTTAGGGTTGAATTCACATCTAAGAGTTGATCATTAGCCGAAAGGAATTTGAATTTGAGAATTTCAAGTTCAAAATTAGTGGTATTACAATTAGATCAAATTTTTGTTCGCTTATAATGTTGATTGTTAGTCTTAATTAAGGTTTAAAATTATTTTACGGTGGACTCAACACATTATCATTATCTCAATTCTTTGATGATACACTTGTACGAGCTTTCAACCGTAAAAAAGAATACTTGAACTCGTTGTGTAATTTAAAATAAGAAATTAGCTTTATTTTACAGTGATAAAATGTCATAAATGAGTTTAATAGCGAAAAATAATTATCTCCTTAATTAGTGTATGGCCTTGCATGCGCTGGCTCCTTGTCCTATAAATGCTTCTTCATTATATTCACCAAAAAACTAAATGCTTAGCTTCTTCATTGACATTTTTACCATCAATTTCTTTCATTCCTATTACTCTCCTTGTCTTCCAAACACAATAATAATACTTATACTAACACCCAAGAAATCAGGTGTTCGTTGTATCATGCTATTTTTGGATAGGTTACTATGATAACTTTATAGGGGAGCAGATCGGGTGAGTAACTGATGGGTGAGTAACCCATCAGTAACCCCCCTCTCCTCTCTCCACGTGTTAGTTACTTTTTTATTTAAATTACATGCTAAAGGGCAGTAAGGTAAATTGCATTTATCCCCTATTCATTGCTGACGCTGACTTTTGACCGACCACATCAGGACCTCCTTCTCTCTCCTCGAAAAACCTTTAATTTTCTTTCCCTTAATCTTTAACGGACGATTTCTCACTCGTTTTAAGTCGAATTTTTTTTTTTTTTGCACAGTTAGATCAGATTAAATATGCTCTTCAAAATGATATCCACTTTGATATTTTTTTGACACAATTTTTTTTCCAGTTATTACTAGTCTATACCATATGGTATCGACTATACCATATGGTATTGACTGGTATTAAATAAGAGCATACCATATGGTATGAATTTGCCACATCAATATATATTTCGTTACCACCCAATACCATATGGTATAGTGTGGTAATATTAATATATATTTCGTTACCACCCAATACCATATGGTATAGTGTAGTAATATCAATATATATTTCGTTACAACCCAATACCATATGGTATAGTGTGGTAATATCAATATATATTTCGTTAACACCCAATACCAAATGGTATAGTGTGGTAATATCAATATATGTTTCGTTACCACCCAATACCATATGGTATAGTGTGGTATATCAATATATATTTCGTTACCACCCAATACCATATGGTATAGTGTGGTAATACCAATATATATTTCGTTACCACCCAATACCATATGGTATAGTGTGGTATATCAATATATATTGCCTAAAAGAAAAAAAAAAACAGAAGGAGGGAGAAAAAAAACTCGTCTTCTATCTCCTCTTATTTCCTCCTCTGCAATCAAGAACACCAAAATGCCAAAAAATGAGAAGAATCCGAATTGAGGCCAACGATTTGATGAAGAGAAGAAATGCAATGAAAGAGGGAGGCTGCAATTTTTCTTCGTTGATTGCTAAAAAAAAAAAAATAATAAGAGAAGGGAGCAAATCTAGATCAGTAGAATAATATTGGAAGAGAGAAAGGAAGAGAGAAGGAAGAGAGAAAGAGAAAGAAGAGTTGCAGAGAAAATACTATTTTTCTCTCCGTCATTGAAAAGTCAACTATTAAATGTTGGATAAATTAAAAGAAAATTAAAAAATGGACAAAAATACCCCTCCTCTTCCACCACGTCCGGCCAACCGCACGATGAGCTGGGCTCCTAGATCTGCGGCCCAGATTTATTATTAACAAGTCAGCAATCACTGGTTACTTACTGTATCTTGGACCACTTTATAAGGTTACCTTTATACTGTATAATCATGAGGTATAGTAATAGTAGGTGTCAGAGTTGTAGTCCTATAAGGCTACAACTACAGGGAAAAATAATAATACTACAACTGCATAAACAACGGCTACTATTATGATTAGCATGGTGCTGCTAACTGCTAATTGTTATTAAGATAACCCATCCCAACTATTGTGATTGATCGGACTGCATGTTGTAAGACTTTTTCGACAATCAATTATAGTAGTTTCTCTTTTTCCGTGTCCAAAGGGAAATCAAGAAAAACACATTTATTGACACCAGATACTGTGCGAATCTCAATAGGAGTTTAGCACCATGATAATTACAATAAGAGAAAGGTTAAAATAGATCAAAGAAAGAGAGAGAGAGAGAGAGAAAACAACAACTACAGTTACAAAGAACAATGACTCCAACTGAGATTGTATTACTACAAAATGTTCAACAATATTTTGGATTTATGGGTAATTAATAACTTGTTCCCACATCGAAAGTGTTCAATGATGGGAGTAAAAAGTTGTAAAAAAGTTTCTTAATTTGGTCATGTACTAATAATGTGCAATTACCGTAATATATTGGGTTGATTAGAGTTTATTCACTCATTGAGTGGCCAGCCAACAAAAGTTTTTCAATCAGTCTAGTAAACCTAATCGCTCCCTCCATCCCAAGTTTTTTTTTTTTTGTCTATATTTCATGCATGAATCACGACTGTCAAAATTAAGACAGCTTTTCGGTGGACCATGACAATTAGTGTCGTCTCGTGGTGGACTTGTCGTAGTTGTAGTTGTTTTTGTTTTTGCTTTTGTGGTAGTTTACCGTGCCAACACCACTCAAGATCTTTTTCGATCAAAGAAAGGGTGGTATTTTCCCGGTTATGCCCCTCCGGAATTTTCTTGCTGAGATGCTCCGGCTACAGTGTTATCGTGATTGAGGTGTCTATATAAAGCCTGCAGCGAGAGCCATTGTGATATAAACCATACCCGATCGATCGAGAGCCAAATACACCAATTCTCCTATTTATTTCCAGAAAAAGAAGAAGAAGAAGAAGTGTCTTCTTTGAAATGGCGCCGGCAATGGAGCTTGGAGGTTCTCTTCCTTTTCCCAAAGCTCATCAGCTTGCTGCAAGCTCCAAGGAGGTTGGAGGGTCTCTTCCTGTTCCCGATGTTCAACAGCCTGCCGTGAGCTCCGAGGAGGTTGGAGATTCTGTTCCTGTTCCCGATGTTGAAGAGGCGAGCTCCCCGCTGGAGGTTGGAGGGTCTCTTCCTGTTCCGAATGTTCAAGAGCTTGCGGCGGTCTCGGAGGATGTATCGGCTAGGTACATACGCCCAGAGCGCGAGCTCGAACAAGTTGCTGAGGGTGAGTTCGGTCAAATTCCTGTGATCGACATGAGCAAGCTGGTCGGTGGTGACGACGACGAGTCCGCTAGACTGCATTCGGCTTGTAAGGAATGGGGGTTCTTCCAGGTAGGATTCATCAAAATGAGTTAAATTTCTTGGGATAGTAATAGCCTTAAATGGCTTTATGTTATACATATGTCCTCGTTATCTTGGCCTTTCCCGTTTGTCATATTGTGGATTCCATGAATTATGCTATTTTAGCAATCTGCCATTCAAATGGATCTTATACAAAAAGAGAGATTGATATCATTGTCAAAAAGTAGGTGATCAATCATGGAGTTGCCGAAGAGGTGATTACCAAAATGACGGAGAATATTCAAGAGTTTTTCAGCCTACCATTGGAAGAAAAGATGGAATATGCACAACTGCCAACTGGCATGGAAGGATATGGGCAAGCCTTTGTTTTTTCGGAAAAGCAAACACTTGACTGGGGTGACATGCTATTCATCAACGCAACACCTATCAATGAAAGACGAATGAGGTTCTGGCCGACAAATCCCTCTTCGTTCAGGTTTGTTTCCTTTCAATATCACTCAGCCAAATGAATATACATGTCTTCACTCGTAGATTCTATTATATTAATCAGCCTTCTCTATTCACTCACTAACCAAACGAGTTGTGGCTTGTCCATGTTCCACCAGGGAGACTCTCGACAAGTATGCGGCAGAGGTGGAAAAGGCGGCTAGAAGCTTGATGGTTTCCATGGCTAAGAACCTGGGAGTGGAGCCAGCAAAGCTGCTCAGTTTGTTCGACGACGGTGTGCAAAGCCTGAGAATGAACTACTATCCGCCATGTGAGCAAGCTAGCAAGGTCACCGGTATTGCCCCACATGCCGACGGTACTGGACTGACTCTGTTGACTCGACTGAATCAAGCACAAGGTCTGCAAGTCATGAAAGAAGGGAAATGGGTTCCCATTGATCCTCTTCCAGGCGCATTCATCGTCAATATCGGCGATATGCTTGAGGTAATGATATCAAAACTCATATCAATTGTACGTAACAATTCATTTCTATTTTAATAACATCGCAAATGGATTGACCACAGATTATCACTAATGGAGAATACAAGAGCATAGAGCACAGAGCATTAGTGAACGATAAAAATGAGAGGCTATCAATTGCATCGTTTCATGACCCAAGCATGAGTGCAATGATTGAACCATTATCGGACCTTTTCATTAAGGATGAAAAGAAACAAACACCAAATTATAAATCCATATCCCACCGTGATTATAAGAAGATTTCGAGGCAAATGAAACTGGACGGCAAAGACAGAGGCTTCATTACCCATATGAAAATACAAGCCTAAGCTAGAAGACCAATGAATTCATGCTACTGCTCCTTGGTCAGAAAGAAGCCGAAAAGTTGACAACAAGTAAATCATGCCAATGGATTGTTTTTCTTATGAATAATGTGATGCATTGAAGCATCGTGCCACGTGGCTGAATAAGTATTATTATTTAATATTTCTGTATTAATTCATTGTTGTGATATTTGTTTAATTTGGGATGTTTAATTTGTTTGTCTTGTTTGAGTGGGAAAGACTTTGTGTGGAGTTATTCCTATCAATATGTATTTTGTTTTGTGTTTATTCATGAATAAGAAATCAAGTAATTAGTAATAATTTATTTGTAGTCGATCTTATTGATTTTTGTAGTTTTTCGTAGTTAGTTTCTCGCAAATCATTGAAACTCTATGTGTGAAACCAATCACGCGTCATAACCATGCTAATGGAACGTTGTTGTTTCTTATCCAAATTAACTATTTTTATATCAGATTTAGACTCTGTAGCCTAGTGGCTAGCTATTAGTATCATGATAACACAAAAGATTCCCGTTTTAATAAGAAATCATAATAAAAAGAACATAGATAAAATAGTGTAGTTGTAGATACGCCTGGGAATCGGTGCGGTTGCGGTCAACCGCACCAAAATTTATGGTTAATCGCAACCGAAACTTAGCCATATACGCCAACCGCGACCGTACCGAAAATGATTTGCGGTTAACCACTAACCGCAAAGTGCGGTTAACAGTTAATCAAGGTTAACCACATTACTAAAAATTCTTCTGATTTGGGGACATTTTTGTTTATGGTTGTTCACTGTGTCACAGTTAACCGCAATAACCGCAGATAACCGTACGTAGGTAACCGCCTTAGTAATACTGCGTACTTTTTACAGACGCCAACAAAATTCCACAACTAATACTGCGTACTTATATTAAGTTCTCAACAGCTTCGAAGGGAGAGGCTTGCTGGGCTTTGGCGATGCTCTTGTCTCTGGAAAAATGGTTTAATGGTGGGCCTGCTATGGGTCTATCTATGATGGGAAGTTACGGTGCTTACATGAAATTTAATATATTAACTAGGTGGTGATGTCGTGCTTTGTCGTGGGGCAGAGATGTCTTATAGGAATGTATTATGTTGCTCGTTATGATGTTTTGTTAGTATTATTAGTCGTCTAAACCTAATTCTTTTAGCAAGTTTGATAGTAATATTGACTTGATAATATGATCTTGACTGAGAATAGATATAAAGCGGTGAACATCCAATTTTGAAAATTTTGATTAGTAAATGATATATACCTAAACCCAAGTGACCCATTGATTATGGGTAGGGTATGGGTGACGTATATGTGGGTTTGGAAGTTTGTAGAAGGGTTTGGGTAGGGTTGGATATTTACTTCCATAATCTAAATGTGTATGAGTTGGGTATGAATATCCATGGATTCAAGTGAAATCTAAACATTGGACCAATATGTAAATTTAAAAAATTGTAGATACGAAAATCTTATAAAATATAGATACCAAAATATAATTTTTCAATGAATTTACATTAAAATTAAATTTGAGGTATCAAAATGCAAAATGTACATTATAGTGATTAAGTTGTGATTTAATTAAATTTGGAATATCAAAAAGTAAGTTTTTATGCAACAGTAAACTTACTTCAATTTTATATACATTGATATGGTGTTAACACTTAACAATAGTTTCAGTTAATACAAACATTTTGTGGGGTTAATCACAATTAATACGGATATGTAATTGGAGGGACACAATTGTAATTTTCATAAATTAAGGGGAGCACGCATGTGTTGCGCTGCTCATTTATTCTACGCCTCGTGTCTCACTATAAGTATCACGAAACAGACCAAGGTAATACTATGTTTCGAAGGTTTTCTAATTTTTATGTTAGTTAATATTTATTGAAATATAGTTTTAGATTTTTTTAAAAAAAATTTTGGTACCAAAAGGTAATTAAAATTTTGGGTTGGATGGAAAACTAGACAGATGCATATTTTGGCGACTTTAATGGTACCTGACTCCCTATTCAAAATTTAGTGGTATGTCTACCCCAATTCAACTTAAGTGGTACCTGAAATATTTTACTCAAACAAACCACAAACCACAGGTCACGATGGTTTGGATTTTTCGTGTTTATAACAATAATACAAGATAATTATATCATATATATAAAAGATGATCGATTGTACTAAAAAAAAAGTTATAAATCGCTCAATAACATACCAAGTTCAATCATTTACCTCACATAAATTTTGATTGAAAGTCATTTCATGTATAGGATGATCATAGAGATTCACCTGCAGCTAATACAATGCAGACGTAGTGATGACAATTTCAACCCGCCCCATGGGTATTACCCGACCTGACTCGTGATGGGGCGGGTATTACCCGACCCGTAGCAGCGTGGGACGGGGCATGGGTATCTACTTCCGACCCGTCCTGCCCCGTTCTAGACTCATTTTATCTCAATTTCTTACAATTTCTATACATATTTCTCCTATTTTGACTTTCCTTCAACTAGTTAGAGTCGCTCTTTCAACTTGTTAGACTCAATTACACATTCTATTATCACTATTTTTCATTCTTAAAGTGTTTTTCCCTTCGTTTTATCGTAAAAAGTAAAATTTATTTGTATTTTTTTCGAATAACATCTAAGAGTGGATCGACCCGCCCCGCCCCGTACCCGCGCGGGTTTTACCCGCCCGCCCCGTAATAGCGTGGAACGGGGCATGGGAATTGAGGTACCCGCCCCGCCCTATTGCCATCACTATGCACACGTACGACCTATTATGGCCTGCATGGGCTGAGCTCCAACTCCAAGGACGGGTCGACGACATTACTCAACACTGCTGCTACTCAGTCTGAACCTTGTTTAAAAGAGCTGGGCCATATGAATCGGAAAGTAGGTGTGGTAGATATATACCAAGGCCCACCGACCGGAAATCACTAGGCCGAATTTAAAGATCTCCGGTCCTTTTTTTCCCCATTGAAGGCGGCCCCATTATATATAGTTGGAGTTATTTAATTGATGCTACTTATAGCTTGGGAACCAAACTCCCCCGCTATCTAATCCGCGACTCAGGTTGTGTGGGTATTATTACTATCTCGTGAGTGAGTGGTATGTGATTTAAGGTCATGATCTTCTGCATTTCCTAACATTACCTTCTTAACCCACTCTATTTTACGCTTTTTTTATTTTTATCATTACTATCTATTTGTGTGGTATTTTTGTCTCTTTTATCAACTAACTAATGAAGTCCTATGATTTTGCTCAAGCAATTGGGTCTATGATTTTATTCAGGTTTGTGTTTTCATATAAAACTCAAGATGTTATATTTATACATAGATCGATGTTTCTATCGTAACTTGAGTAAAAGAAAGAAAGGTATGACATATTCTAAGTAAAAAAATTATATATAGACTTTGAATTGATCGTAGTTTGAGACATGATACTAAATTTCAATCCCTAAATATTAGAATCCAGCTCTTCACTCTATAAATTTTATAAGCTAAGATCGATTTAATAAGAAACAATAATCTGGCGTTTATGATTTGTCGAAATACATCCAACAAATTATATGCATCGTCTTAGTGTTCAGGGATTTGAGATTAGAAAATTAAGACCGAGGGTTCACTCGTCAAGGGTTCGAGCTCTAAAAGTCGTTTTCTTACCAAAGATATACAGTATTCTAGATTTACGATGTGATACGATGGAATACACCATATATTAGTTGCTAGGTTTACACGGGCATGGCTAAAGACTAATAAGCCCCTTCCAACCTACCTCTGCTATAAATATGATCACTACCCTCAACCTCCCAGAGAAGTTTCTCTGAAGAACTAGTCGGAAAGCAATAGGCCAAAAATTATTGACGCCTTAATTGACAGTTCGTTGTCTGTTGAGCTGGAAGGAAAGGCACTAGCAATTGATAATGTCGACGACGAGTCTATTTATAGCTTGACTATTTTCGTTCGTCATCGACTTAATTCAGTATTTGAAATGAATTCGTGTACCAAACTTACCCACAGAAATTAGCCAGAAATATTTACTTAATTATATTAAAGATATAATAGTGTTACTGTTTCATAAGGGGTTGGCTAATATGAACCGGCTATCATTTATCTTTCATCACCTGCAACAACTCTGCATTCATACATATATATGGTTAAGGTTCCTCTGCTGTCACGTAGCGTTTGGGCTTGTAGCAAATGCTAATTTTTTGTGTGTGGTTTACATAGGATTAATTTCAAGGTTTGCCAAACTATGTTCAATGTAGTAACGAAAAATTTAGTGATAGAGTATTTTGTATCGAAATTGTGTTTTAGTCGTGGTTCAACCATTTCATACGTAAAAAACCGCCTGCTAATAAGATATCCTCCAACCTGTTTTTTGGATTTCTATGGGAAAAGATTACTCTCGCACTCCCCAAACCTCATTCAAAGAGGCGACAAAGAAAACTATGAAGGTTTCAATGCCTTTTGCAAGACCGCTGATCATACAGTTCATGTGGGAGCGGAGAAAGAACAATATTAGTGTCATATACTATTACGTTAAATTTCAATGGTTTATGAGTGCGATTCATGTTGACCAATCCTTTTACTGTATGGCATGTTTGGTGTTTTAATGGGGAATTTTGTGTCGAGTCTTAAAGTTCAAATTCAAGATGGTAGCATCACTTTTATCATTCATTCAAAATCGAACTTCTTACAACCATTAGATTTGGACGAGTAGCATGGGTTGTTGGTTGGCAACGATCCTTCATTTAGAACACTGGATTTGTAGCCTGGAGTTTTCTTGATTGGCTCAGTCGGAGCGACTCAGAGGGGATGGTGAATGAACGGTTTTAGAGTTATCCTACAGTGACATCCTGTAGTACAAAAAATTAGCGAAAATGTCCATTTGAATACTTGAGCAACTATACGTTTGCCACATTTAGTCTACTTTGATATTGTGTAGAAAATTTGTTGGATCATATATATTCAATATCGTAAAACTTAACTTACATAAAATTTTGCAGCTATGACTCGATTTTACAGGATGACAAAAATCAGCTCAAAATTGCACCCAAAGCCGCTGCGAAGCGAGGCAAGTGCTCCTCTAGTTCATTAATTAATGCGGTGCAATAGGATTTTTATTGCAAAATTGCATTAAATATTGGATGAATCAAATTCGGAATCAAAATAATTTGCTTGATTGTCTTGTCTAATAAAATAAGTCACTTATAACAACTCAATTAGAATTATTTATCTCACCCCTAGACAATTGAAATTATCACAAAATGGATCAATGTGAAAATTCTCATACCAAAATTGATTCATCCAATTTTTTACTGTCAAACGAGTAAATTTAGTACAATTATCTCAAAAGAAAAC